AGTATTCCAGGAAGAGTTGCGTGTAATTGGGAAAGGAATATGTACACGTATGCATCTGTGAATTTTGAACAAATTACATATTCTAGTAGATTCTGATAGGAGTACATCTGATTATCTAAATCATAATTACATGGAAATCAATCGGTTGTAGCTAAAATCAAGAAGAATGTGTGGACGAGGTATTAAGATGCAACTGTTGACTGCTTTTTCTCACTGTTTTATGAAATGAGCCTCCTTTATGTGATCTTCCGTACATGTACACATGTAAGGAACATTCTAATTTTATACACCACTCGAAGCAGTCAATTTACATGTATACTGGCTTTTCACCCCAAATACCTTTTCAAAATACCTTTTCTTCCTGTAAGAACTGAAACTGCCTCTTGATTTCTGCAGCCTGCTGTCTCTGTGCCTGGGATAAGCTTTCCACTACCTCAGGCAGGTTGTCCAGACAGTCCAGATCCTTGAAGGTAAATTCTTGGGCAGGGCTGCTACATGTAGCACTGGGTCCCTGGCCCAGACTGTTGGAAGGTCCCTGGATGCTGGTGGGTCCCTGGACAAGGCTGCTGACGGGCCCCTGGACAACAATGCCGAGAGGCCCCTGGACAGCGCTGCTGGTAGGCACCTGGATAGAGCTGCTGGTGGTTCCCTTGGCCAGGCTGCCGGTAGGTCCCTGTGCAGAGCTGCCGGTAGGTCCCTGGGCAGAGCTGCTGGGAAGTCCCTGGAAAGAGATGTTGAGAGGTCCCTGGACAAAGCTGCTGGTAGGCACCTGGGGAGAGCTGCCGGTAGGTCCCTGGGCAGAGCTGCTGGTAGGTCCCTGGGCAGAGCTGCTGGAAGTCCCTGGAAAGAGATGTTGAGAGGTCCCTGGACAAAGCTGCTGATAGGCACCTGGGGAGAGCTGCTGATGAAAAGCAGTTACAAAAACAGTTACATGTTAAAAGAGTTTTAATATGTTATAGTTGCAGGTAGATCAATAATCAGTTACTGCTCAAATCATACAGATTCTGTAAAAGAGCTGTTCTGAGACAACTACATGTATATC